AAACTAAATAAATAGTCCGCCAGGTGTTGACTTTTTAATCTTTCGGAGAGGGAGATATGATTGGTGGATGGGGGAAGGGGCGGGGGCGGGGGGGGGGGGGGTTATGCCAGACACAGTTAGCTGAGAGAGCTTAAAATATTATTTTAAAGTTCTCTTTTCTTAACTATTTCTATTTTAATAATTTCGCCATGGATGATTTTTCAATCCTTCGGAGAGGGAGATATGACTGGGTCGAGGAGAGAGGAGGGGGAAGGGGGATATGATAGACACTGTTAGCTCAGAGCTATTTTCTTTCCTCTCCATTTCATCATTCTTGGCCACAGCAACGCGTGGCCGGGTACAGCTAATATATATATATATATATATATATATATATATATATATATATATATATATATATATATATATATATATATAATTCAATTTTTTCAAACTGATGTGTTTATTCAGTGATAATGCACAGAAGTTTAACATAAAAAATACTATGGCCATCAATCAACAGGACTATTGAAATTTACATATGTAAAGGTAAAGGACCCTTATCAAGCCATGGTGCAGTGAGTATATGATGCTAGACCCAGCTATCGACCTGCCAGCCAAGATGATCTCTTTTTTCTTACTCTGCCTGGTGCGGATTGGAACCTATGGCCGTTGGTCGACAACTATGCTGTCGAAGTCACCGATTCGTGTATGTGCTTCATATGCTATCATAATACATCTCATACACTTCAACACACAAGAAAGCAAATAAAATGACGGAAATTATGTTTTTACTTGGACAAGATTTAAGACCTATACATTTATGCATCAGCAGAAGACGTTTACATATTTTCAAATAAAAATATTCTTAGGACACAGCAATGAGAATAAGGGGGAGACATAATAAAATACATGTTCGTTTTAATGGTACTACAATCAAACACCCACATGTCTCCCTTCCCGCAAAGTAGCAAATGATAAGTAACATTTTCAACTCTACTTTTCATGCTAGCAGTGCCAGACATGGACAATGAATAAGACACCAGAACAGAAGATAACTACATGTGAAAGAGGTAGTATGGTAAGTTGTACCTCACCAGGACACCATACAAGCGATAAACACCTATCGACACAAAGTGCCACCATGTGGATGAGTATCATCCTTGGAGAGGTCCCCTAATAAACCCCGTTTAGCCGTTAGGCCATATTTATGGCCTGACTATTTTAGAGCCCTTGGCAGGGTGGGTCTTCAAATAACGAAAAATGGCATCCCACATGGTGACGACCTTGATTTTGTCATTATTTAACTGTGTCAGCTCACGCCATCGCACCGTGTGTGATCACCTCTTACACTTGTGTATCTGATCTGATTTTAAGGATATACATTTGAACCGTTATTTTAACATTCGATATAGTATGTTTCATGTTCCATAGTGTATGCGGTACCTGTGATAGTAATGCATGTATGCTTTAATCCTATATTTAGGGCCCCCTGTAAAAGCTAGGGTGGGGCTTCAAAATAATTGAAAATTGCATCCCACACGGGGATGGCGATGATATATACGCATTTGAAATATGTAATTATGTATGTCAGTTGTGCCCCACCAGGACATCACACCAGCGATAAACACCATGTGACACAAAGTGCCACAATGCGGATGAGGATCGCCCGTGGAGAGGTCTCAGAAACCCCTTTTAGCCGTTGTGGCCATATCTATGGCTAGGTCATATTTATGGCCCGGTTATATTCAGGGCCCCGGCAGGAGCCAGTGTGGGGTTTCAACAACAAAAAAATTGCATCCCACATGGGGACGACTTATATTAGAATTTGGAATACGTTTTCTCTGTAAGGTCAAACACAACACAAGACGAGATGAGACATGGTTACAACGTTATAATTCTGAAACAGCTTAATGTGTGAAATTAACCTGTTCACACGGGACACTTACAGAAGAGGTGTACAGCATTGATTTACTTTTGGTGTTTTTTCCATTGGTACTTTAACACTGAGAGAAAATTGTTGATTAATCCGAAATTGGTTGGCAAGATTCACTGTCATAATGTCTTCTTGCTTCGTCCGCCTTCACTCACCTTGAGACAGACTATTTTATGATAATATCATCTGTATATATTAATAAGCGAATGCCATTAATAAAAATGTTGACTTATACAATCAATTTAATTATTATACAATAATGCTACATAATGCGTATCTTTTGATGCTACTTTCAGTCATTGTGATGCAATAGGCAGTGAGGCAAGGGGTGTGTCAAAGGGAAAAGAGAATTGCAGACTGTTGTTTTTTCCCTTGTTAAAAACTAGTCGAAACGTTGATTTGCATATGTGCACATCTTTTCCTTACCCTCCGTCGAGCTTTCTAGTCGTAGTTTGTTTTGGATTTAATTACTTCTTGATATCAGCTCGGCTGCAATCATTCTTTTGCGTGGCGGATGTAGCAAAAACAACAACAAAATAAACAATTTTTTGGGGCCCCGGAGATGTGGTTTAATGGAAAAATCATTAAAATATCATGGAGAAAAAATAAGCAACTGAAGTAATTTGAAAGAGGCAGAGGCTCGAAGACAACTTATCAAAAACATCAAATACAGATAGTGGCAATCTTTTGGTCACGTAGTGAGAAGAAATAACTGCAACAAGTTGTGACCACTGGAAACATCTGTGGAAAAAGAGACAAAGAAAGAAAACGTGAGACTAAACATCATTTTGTCATGGCATGGAGGGATGTCAGTACACGCACTGATACATGATGTTGAAGATCGCTGTATGTCTTGAAAAGGATCTGTTTATGTTGGTATGTCATTATACTGCTGTCATAATAAATCAGGTATTTTCTAAAATATCCAGTTTGGTTTTTTAGAATATGTACACCATATTAACTCGACGGCAGTCAAATTATTTGAAATCAGCGGTACACTCCCCGGTACCCAAAAGTTAACACATGTTGCTTCCCGTACTGAAAGAAATCCGTGGTTATGAGGCTGAGCGCATTGGTGTTTTCTAACATTGAAACTGTTTCTGCCTGAGACTTCGTTATATTTACAAGGGGAGAAAAAAAAAAGGGGGGGGGGGGCGGGTAGCGGATATCAGGGGGCAGGCTCAGCCAAAAAAGGCAGCTATATGTTCCTTAAAAAAAAAAAAACCAAGTAATCTATAGTTGTCGTCATAAGGCACGAAACAAATAGGTATGGGGGAACATACTCCATAATTTTATAGGATTACTAGTCTCGAATCATACCTGTCTTACTGAAGCTATTTATTCCGTTGTCGTTCCCGTGCTAATTCCCCTATCGGTTTTTAAAAGGAGTAGATAATTATAGGGACGAAAAAAAGTTGGTAAGAAACAACAAACAGTTTATGTTAGCTTTACAAAATCGATCACAATAAACAAACAAAGGACGTTGCGGCGATTAGCCTTCATCAGCACATAAAGGACAGTACACATACACAAATATACTCTAACTATGAAGTGACTACATAGGACTCTAATGTATAAAATAAATGATACCCATCTGTGTCCCTGGCGAAAAAAACTTCATACAATAGAAAGATTGTCAGCCTATATACCTCCAGCGCGCGGGTGGGGTCGAAAAAGGGGCGGATTAGACGCCAACAGCGTACACTGAGTGTCTAATGAGGGAGGGAGTGGTTGGCCTATATGGCGTAACCGGGGTTGGGTTGTGGGGATGACATTAGTCCATCCGCATGGAGTAAAAGTGGTACCTGTGCTTGCAAACAAATATCAGCAGACAGACAGACAGACAGGTGGGTGGGTAGGTAGGTAGGTAGATATGATACCAAGCGCAACCTAATCTAAAATATCTACCTGCCGTTTCTCTATTCGATGTATGGTTTTTAGTGTGTTTCTTTAATTACTTCTATTTTATGAAAAGGGCGGGTCTCTGCTTCAAGAAGTTTTATCTATCTACTTCTTTCTATGAGTGCCGATCAATACACTTTCTGTTACTTGAATAATTCATTGTTATTTTGATGATCATCGGTTCAGTTTTGAATTCTTGCCATTTAGTGCAGGTGTTTCGGCGACCACTGGGTAGTCACTAGAGCTACGAAGTTCGTGCTTTAAGCTACACTCGGCCGGGAATAGACCCGGTGTGTATAGGGGTGGGATCAACCTGGTGCAATGAAATCGATCCTGTCGCTGTCAACTTGTAAAGCCTATAAACTGTTTTATTCAGGATTTGATCTGCCAATCCATGGTACTCATTGCATTTATGTATTTTAATGCTAAGACAGTCACATTTTTCAAGAGATTTTAACAGCTGCTGACTTCTGCGACACTCAGACACACAGTTCTGCTGTAACGTTGCAGTGTTCTCTAATGGTAATATGACCATAGTCACGCCAACATTGGCTTTAATGTGGGCCAACGGTCAACCTTCATTCATCAATAATTTGTCTTGCGCATCTAGCGGCGTTGCTGTTCATAGGCCTATGTGTTCATTTACTGGGTGGCTAAACAAATGAGATGCATTTCGTACCCCAGTAGATGAACGCGTCGTCTGTCATATAACAGGGTAGATTAGTGCCATCATAGTTGTGATAATGTTTACAAAAATCCGTGCATTAGAAACCTTCTGTCTGCTGTAACTATACGGATGTGTAATTCATGGTTGCTCACGGTAAGCGTGTGCGATAGGGGCCGACAACGAGGCAGACAAGCGTCTGCGTTGACTGTCGCTATACTTTGTGCGTTAAATGTCATTGGATTATGTATGTTCGTCAGCCTGGGTAGCTACCACGAGGACACTGTGTTCAGTACTAAAATGGGAAATGTTATGTGGATATTATACAAGCAAAGAAACATCAAATATATGCAACTGTATCACAGTTTACATACACACACATTTAAATAGACATAACGCTGTGTTGTCACATGTTAAAACTGAAGGTGTTTTCTCCCGCCCGTGCGTGTGCGTCATTCTCTGACCGGTCTATTATTAGCAGTCAAATTGCTCATCCATTGTTGATTTGATCACATTCAGGACCCTTGCTCCAAATTCTGAACGAGAAAGGTAAATCCAGTCGGGGGCGCCTTGGATCATTCAGCTCATCCTTCAAGGAAAGTAAGAAAGAAATTGTCCGTCAAGTGTTTCTCTTTACCAATCACATTTTACTGACTACCAGAGCGTCCAACGGCCGCTTGCATTTAGCAAAGGTGAGTATTTCAAGCCCTATCTTGTATTTAAAATGTTTAGTGTCTTCACAGTGGCATCTGCTCATACCTGTTCATGGTTATTTCTTAGCATTTTCTTGAATGGATACTTTGACAATCAGACATTCATGGTTATGACAATGAAGTCCATCATTAACTCTTTCAGGCCCATGAATTTTGACCGAGTTGGCTGGCAATTAATTTCCCTTTACACAAATTACAGAGGGGGTGTTGAAAAAAAAAATTAAAATTAAGAATGTAATATATTTCCAATCCCTATAAAAGTATATATTTTTCTTAAATATCAATGAATGCACAATTTGAATCTGTTTTTTATTTCTAATGCTGTTATAATTAGTAGGACACACAAAAAAAGAATTCAGCAGGTGTTTTGTCAATGAAAACGAAAGCCTTGCAACCATGGCTTTACAGCCGCAAGAGCAGTAAATATTTAAATCTGAGAATAAAACTTTTAAGTTTGTTACATTTCCTAAAATGTTCAAAAGTTATGATAAGATTCTGGGTTAGTTTATCACTCAGAGACTAGCTGAAGTTCCAAGCCTCAAAATAGATGGCAGGGACATCAAGAGAGACAGCACACTGCGAGTTAACTGGGAATCACTTTTGATGACAGAAGCTTGTCTTTCAAGGATCACATAAAGGTGGTTGTGTCAAAAGCCAAAAAAGTCTTAATGCACTCAAGATTTTGGCAGCAATGGACAAGGAGCAGAGAATGCTGTTCACACTATACCAGCATTTAATCATCTTAATGATTGATTATGGACTGGATTTGCTCACTGTCTCGAAGAGTCAGCTAGTGAAACTGGAGCGCATACTTTTCAGCAGAAAAAGCTGATTAAAGTGATTCTCTGCTGCTGTTGTCACTCTGGGTCGTCCATTGCAATGTCAGTCTTCAACTGTACCAGTGGCTTAGAACTAGTGGGAAAGGCAAATGTTGGTACTCTGATGCATGTTTAGATATCTGGCAGACTCTCTTCGACTTTCTCCTACCTGCAATCAGCCAATAGCAATATTTATCAAAAGCGACGCTATTTGTGACTGCTTGAAAATGAACTCAATGTTTTGGTGTAGCTTTGTCCTTTTATAGGTTTTCAATTGCCGAAGGTAGTGAATAGTTTTCACCCCAAGTCATGTTTGCTTTCTCTTGCACACATCATGAGCAATGCTCACAAATGTGGTCTTAAACACAATTGACCACTGCATTGTAACGATAATTAAAAACCCACGCAGTTCAGTCCCACATGTTCACAGGACACGGTAAACAACATTTATGTCTTCTTTTCAAATACCTGAGGACAATATTTTATTTACAAACTAATAAAAGATGACTATGCTTTTCTTTTTTTAACAGTATAATTTGTGTCAATTACTGTATATATATTTATTTAGTCACACATTAGTCTCAAAGATAAAAGAAATTCAACACTTTAAGAAGACAGTAGCACCTGTGCAGTTGTATATTACAAAATCATAAGGACATGGGAAATGGGATTGTAGTTAGTCGTACCACATTGTTAAGATCCCAGTCCCTCCATTGCTCCCATTATCAATATTACAACTGATTTAATGGAAACACTGTTTATTTCTCTTTACTATCTACAATGCAAAATCCACCAGCAACATTATAAGCTTTCATACATTGACTTTATTGATCTACAAAAGTGTTTCCTTTTGTCAGCCAATGTGAATCCTAAAAGCACTCTGTAAAACTGTCTACATCTCTATACTGATGCAGTTAATAACATTATTGAATCTCTTGTTCCAAGCATATCAGGTCTTTGAAGAAGAAAGAATGCACACAAAATATCTGAAGAGAACGGAGCATTGGAGTGTGACCAGTGGATGTGGTCAACACTTAGTAGTCAGAGGAAAGACAGACATACAATCAGACTGTTACTGGTACATTTGGAACTAGAACTCTGAGCTGGCTGCTAAAGATAAAGACAGAGTGCTTATGTGAATGTCCTGATTGCTATGTTGTCAGTTCTTAACTCAACTTAACATTTATCTCTTATTCTAATTGAGCATTTCAAAATAGAAATATTCAAATCACACAGTCCGTTACAATTACGACATGCAAGCTACAGAGCCTGCCTCACCCTCCATTCTCATGCTAGATGTTGTGGTATCATATGCCAGGCTGTCCGGCACTAAAGATTTTCTATTGCTACGAAAGCCCAGGCACTTCTCTTCCCTCTCAATACAGAACCATCTGTGTAGATAATTGGATCATCAGAACAAGAATTGTCATGAATAAAATGTTGGACTTCCACCTCAGTAGCCCTCGCTGGCCACTCTCTGCACTCCCGGCCTAATGTCATCATGACCCTACATTAGACTTTTCCTCTGGTACTCTGACCAACTCCTCGTCTAATGTTCTTGTGCATGCAAACTTGTTTTATTGTGTCTTCTGCTTGAGCCATCCATGATTTTCTCCTTTTCAGCCTCAGATGTTTAACGGCATCCAATGCTTCATACAGAGGGTGTTCTTTATCTGCAGCTACTCTGATGTTTGACTTGGCCTGCAGCACCTTCAGCCTATCTGCAACAGTCACTAATGCAAGGATGTATCGCATGCACACAATCGGGGTGTCTCTTGTACATCCCAGGATCTCACAGCTTCATTCTGTATGCATTCCATTTTCTTTGTCTGACTCTTCTAGACAGTAAGCAAACCCATACCATAATCAATCACTGAGATGATTAAGTGCTGGTATAGTGTGAACAGCATTCTTTGCTCCTTGTCCATTGCTGCCATAATCTTTAGTGCATTAGGACCTTTTTGGGCCTTTGACACAACAACATCCATGTGATTCTTAAAAAGACAAGCTTCTGTCAAAGGTGATTCCCAGGAACTGAAGTCTGCTGTCTCTCTTGATGTCCCTGCCATTTATTTTGAGTCTGGGAACATCAGCTCTAACAATTCAGTTGTCCATAGAAAACCACAGGACAGTTACCTTTTCTGGGTTGATTACAGCTCTCATCTCTGTACACCAGTTGATCACCTTATCTACTGTTGCCTGTAACTCTTGAGCAATTTGATTCTGCCTATATACGAGAATAACATCTGCTAATGTCAGTATTCTTCCAAATCCAGGTATTTCCAGTTCCGCAATCTTGCTTGCAAACACATTGAACATCACAGATGAAATTGCAGATCAATTTGGTAATACATTTATAATATATTTATAATACATGGTTCAGAGGTCCATGAACCCAGGCAGAGAGTGATCCGACGAGAATACAAGGCAGCTGCTATCCAGTTCACCATCCAAGGACACACTCTCTTCTGCATAAGTGCTATCATCAAGATATTATATCTGACTCTGTTGTAGGCATCTTCACAATTAAGTGTCGCTACCACCATTTCCAGCCTTTTCTTGAAACCTTCAAAGGCGTCAAAGGCAAAAGTGGCTGCATTTGAACATGTATCCTTCCCTGGCTGGTAACTTCCCAAACCTCCTAGAAGAAGCTTTCTCTTTTCCAAACATTCTTGTAGCTTACCCGTCACTATCTTCTCCAGTACTTTGCCAAACGTGTTTTATAAGGTTATGATCCTAAATCCACAAAGTGTTGAATGATCCTTGCCAGGCCTAGCTTAGGAAGTGGAATCAGGTAGCTGGGCATCCACTCTTGTGGAACTGAAGCTGTCCTTATACTGTGGTTGAAACAGGCAGTCATCTCCAACAAGTCTGCATCACTTATGTCCCTCGTATGATTATATCTGAACCCATCAGGCCTGGGAGCAGTGTCTTTTACCCTTTTCAGAACCTATTTCACATCTTCCACCTGTATAAAGTATTCATAATGTTTATTATTTATTGCAGCTGACAAATCTTCTCTAACTGCATCTCTGTTTTCATCATTGTGGCCTGTCTGTGAAATGAACCTCTTCAGGAAAGCTTCACCCTTCTCTTTGTCTGTAGTCAATAGGAAATCGTCTCTATGAACTGTTCCCACTAAGCTGGGCCGATCTTTCTTGAGCATCTGTCTATGTAGCTTTCAAAATTTTTCCAGACTCTTATCGCCCCCAATTTCATTTAAAAAATGTTCCCATTTTGCTTTTTTTTGCCTCTGCTGCACAATGCTTGAAAACCTGTATCCTCTCTTTCTTAACTCTTTTCGTGCACTCCAATTGTTCATGCGTGCTTAGGGATAATTATCTCACTTTCTTTAGTCGCTTTACTGCAGCTCTCTTCAACTTCCATGACTGATCTACTTCTAATGTCCACCATAGGGGCTGCACAAATGTAGGTCTGCTATTCCTCTTCTATACCCTCTGTCGGAGGTGTCCAAGAAGGGTGTTTGTCAGCTCATGCTTAAAAGACCTACGAGCTATTGAAGCCTTGACTTTACTGGATTTGGAGATCAATTCTGAACATGGCAGATGATCACTTCCATGATCATCCAGAACAGTCCATTTGGTATCCAGTACTCCTGTTTGGGTAACAAACGCCAGGTCAACAGCCATGTCTCCATCGCCGGGCCTCATCGCCATTCTAGTTGGCCTCCCATCATTTATGCAGACAAAATTTGAATCAACCATGGCGTCGGCAAGGGCAACTCCTTGTTGATTTTCCCCAGTACTGTACCATTCATTGACCAGAGGAAGAAACAGTAGGTCAGTGATTTATAATTGCCATGATTATAGTTCAGCTTTTGTAATTTGTTGTTGGTTAAAGTACTTTCTTTCTTGTTGCAGAACATTGGGAAAATTGTCCTGCTTGACTGCACTCTAATAGAAGATCCAAATTCAGACATATTTTTCTTTGATGAAGAGAGTAAGTATTTGAACAAAAAGTCCTTAATATGATCACTACTAGTGTGATTAAAATCATTTATGAGTTTATATTTTTATGTTGAAAGACAGCTACATGAGATAAATTGTAACTGTTAGCAGACTGTGTATGTTGTTGAATATAATCATAAATTTATCAGGAAACACTTTTTCATCATTTCCCTGAATGGCATAAATGCATTGTGCCTGTTTACAGCACAGCTGCAATATTTTCATCTTTTAATGGACACTTCTGATTTCTTTGTGCATTTGTTTTCCATATTAGCCTTTCAAGTTAATTTTCTAGGACACTGTGGGACATTTTACAGCCTCATTTATGTGGTGACTTTGTTATACCCTGCTCCTGGAGGACCTTCCAGGGTAGTCCCATGCAGACTTGTTTGCCATGGGAAAAAGAAGGGTAAGAATGTATTCCTTGTGGTCCAAGGAAGCTTCCATAAATGCAGAACCAATGCAAGGCACTCTGGTACTGATTTCACTCAGTGTCTCTCCATCACATGACTGCTTTACCTCACATCCATATATTTACCAGGTGTACCCTTCAAAGATCATGAGGAAGCAGTCCACAGACCCAAACTTTGATGAATCACGCACAATGGATATCTCACTTCCTCAGCATGTTAGACTTCTTTTGTAGCTAAGGGTACTTTTCACGTGGATGCCCTGGGGCCTTAGCATGGTATTTTATGGAAAGTATGCATCAGACAAGGTGTTTCCTTATGGTCATGTGTTGTGTGCTGAACTTACTTTGCTGTTCAATTGGAACCAGAGGTCAGAGGCATGATCTCCTACGCTAGTCGTAAAGGCGCTAGATAATGATGATGACAGAGCTGAGTGCAAAAAGTCCACACTGCTTGAGGCATAAGACAAAGGTTTCTTGAGATTAATGGCTAACAGCGGTCCACTGGAATTATGAGACCTAGGTATGACTGGCAGTTGAGCGTGAACCCCTGTCCACGTCAGTTGCTTTCAGTTCTTCTTACTGAATGGACATGTTGTTCGAGTCCAGTGGTTGAATGGACTGTATTTTAACAAGGTGTCCTAATTCTGTTTGAGCTCATGTAAACTGTCTAATGGTTTTTTGTGGATTGTGAGATAGACTTAGTAATTCTGTCAGTAATTATCTATAACAGATGTGTTGTGGGGTCGGCAGTGTTGCGGCTATGGGAAATGTGGTTGACCGGGTATCTGTAAGGGCACAGAAGGTGCCAGGGACCTTGTGTGTAAACTAATGTGGAGTTGTGATGGAGGAAGAATCAGAGGCTGATTGATGGGATGTTAGTCAGTGATGCTTCAGTGAGGGATTGGGATAGCAAACAGGAAGTCTGGAGTTTTCATTCAGAGGTGTATCTAAACAAAAAAGCTGTAGAAGTAGGTAGGTAGGTAGGTAGGTAGGTAGGTAGATAGGTAGGTAGGTAAGCTGTACCCCACCAGGACATCACACAAGCAGTAAACACCCAGTGACACAAAGTTCCATCATGCAGATGAGGATCACCCATGGAGAGGTCTCAGAAACCCTGTTCAGCCATTAGGCCAAATTTAAGGCCCTGCTATATTTAGGGCCCCCTGCAAAAGCCAGGACAGGGCTTCAAAGTAACTAAAAATTGCATCCTACAAGGGAACGACATGTGAATACAGTGATGTAGAAGTAAATTTGATATGTACTTATGCTTCATCTATGCTATAAATCACAAACCCTTTCTTTATATAGTGTCTCTCTTATAAATGAACTGTTAGCTCCTCCCAGACTGTGACCATTACACGGGTTAAATTTTCAGTAGCCATTAGGCTACAAAGCTTAATTCAACAGTCACATGGTGGTCAGTTGTTGTGCATTTTTTTAAATTGCGATAATCAGTAAAAGTAAACTTTCACTTGAATATTTCCTTCTAGATCCTTTAAATTTTTTTATTTACATTTTTATTGTTATCTTCCTTGAAAAAAATAGACTGTAAGATACGGGCATTAGTGGAGGTTGTTGCTTTATCAGTCAGACTTGGGGGACTGCCAGTATGCCAAATTTTAACATTGAGTCATGCCCCCAGTCACTGCTCCATCACTCCAGTTGGCCATTAAGGTGGTGGTAGCACCAACAACGGGAAGACATGGTCTAGGACACTTCTACCACTTCAACTCGAGCCGTGACTCTGGGGCCAGCTCCCACACCCTGTAAAAACTTATTTGCTACAGAAACTTAAAGAAACCAACAGACATGCACTGAAATGGGACACTGACGGGTTGAGGAAATGAGGAAATCCAAGAGAAAGATGGCACTTGATGATCATGATCAATTCATATAACAAATGTAATCCCACGTTAAACAAATTTTTTGCCAAAACATGATATTTTAAACATTTGATGTAATAAGTGAGTTTTTTATGCACACATAATGGTATTAGTAATAAAAATCATGTTGTAAATTAAAAAAAAATTGGAAAAAAACAACAGCAGCTCGATATGTCTAAATAAATCAGTTTATTATTATTTGTTATTATTAGGCATCTTTGATTAATATAATCTTGTTACCAAAACTGATAGTAAACTCAGGTTTTGAGATCTGAAACTGTCAGTAATTAGCTTTGCCTTGTCCAGCATCATCCCTTGACTCCAACCTAAGTCTGGGAAGTCAAACATCAGCAGCGAATCTACTGCCCTTGCAAGGTGTGACTGAGCGTGAGGCCAAGACAGACTACAATGGTCTTGAATTTCGGCTCATTGTGGACTCTAAGAGTGGTCCTCCTGTTACAATAGCATTGGTGGCCAGCACACTTCATGAGAAGGCAGCGTGGTGTAGTGATATTAGTCAGGTAAAGTTGTGGCAATGGCGCTTTAATTGCATGCATTTTTGTTTGCTGAATCCGCCTGAATTTTGAATGTATTTTGTTTGAAAAAAGTATATGTTTTTTTTATTTTGGCTCTTATAAATGTTTTTGTTGCTGATAGTTAGTTATTCAGATGCACTTTCAGCAACAAGCTCATGCCACTCTAAATGTGTCAGCACCTTGTTCTGAAGCCAGTAGAAAGCTACTGTGGCTGACTTCACCTCCACTCTCTAATTAGATGGTGTAGTATTATATGCTAAGCATTGTTGCTTGAGGGTTATCCATTCACTTTCATGGTGAACACCTTTGCGCTTCTGCTTCTCAGCACAGAGCCATCTGTGAAAATAATATCATCAGTGAAAAACGAGAGTGAAAATAATATAGATACATGAAGTTACTGAGTTAAATGAGAAGTTTACACAGAAGGGTTTAGTTGCTGTGATGTTACATAGACTATGCAAGGTGTTAATGACAGACCTGTGGTCTACATTGATAGTGAAGAGCTGGAGAAGTCAACCATTTTACATATCTGGGATCCACAGTGAATAACGACTATTACTGGACCAACAAGGTGGCAAAAGCAGTGAGCAATTTAAAAAAAAAAAAGTTTATGAGACAGAAATGATCAAAATAAAATCTCTTGACTATTGGAATTTTGTTCTCAGCACTCTTCTTTACAGCAGCAAAAATGGGTCAACTCATTTAAACCAGTTGAATTAGATAAAAAGCTATCACATGTGATCCCTACAAAGAATACTTGAAATAAGGTGGCAAGATTTGATCGCAAACACTTAGGTAAAGAGCAGGTATTACAACAGTTTTGTCAGTCTACGAAGGCTCATATGGTGTGGTCACACATGGAGAATGGCAGTGTCCCTAACCACATACTCTATGGTGAATTACAGATGGTTAGAAGATGTCAAGGGTAGCCTCTTCTAGGATATAAAGATGTGTGCACATGAGACATGAGTGACACAGTTATTGAGTTAGATTCATGGAAACAACATGCGATGAACCATGTTGCGTTGAGGGGGACAAACCAGGAAGGAAATGAGAATTGAAAAAAACAATGGTTGCACAAAGTATAGGAGCTGAGTGTCTGAGAAAAAGAAAAAATACAAATGATTGAACCAATCTTCCTGAAATCCCAATCCTCAAGCATGGGAGTCTTGCTAGTCACACTCGCCATAGCCATGGGTTGTGAGTCCCATGCCTCCTCATAGCACAGTATAACAACACTGTCTGGAAAGATGGAAAGTTGACAACAGTGCCAACAATAGAGATTATGAGTAAAAATAACATAGTTACATTAAACTTATATATTGTATCTGAACTTAAAAAAAAAAATATATATATATATATAAATGTATAAGGAAAATTAGATCTCTTTCATGAGATGTACAAGATTTGATTATAAAATACCCAACCCTTGACCCGTTAATGTAATGGCAGTGCATCAGTGGCAGCACTAGCACACAAAACCCACCATCCAGATGAGATCAGGCTTGGTTGGGCCAGGCAGAGACAGTACTTTAGACAATGCCAAGATTTGGCGTCACCAATAGTTAATGCAGAAGTCAAAGCATTGGTGGAATTCAAATTCAAATTCTCTTTCGTTGACCACTTTCAGCTAGGTCCGCTCACATTTCTGCTCACTTTCCTTTCAGCTATATTTGTGGTGACGTTTTCTGGTCATGATCTCATTTGATTTTGGATTGTGTTCAATATTGTTGCTTTCTATTTGTTGTGGTTTCCGCTCTTGCTGTTGCCTTCCTAATTTGGCTGGCCCTGTGCTGCGCTCAAGATGATTGGATGTTGAATCGATTTATTGTGGTATTCCTTGGTTGTTTGACGTAAATTGCCTATCCTAATAAGGACCGGCGGTCGATTGACTTGGGCAGGTACTGATGACAATACTGGTGAGGTCTGATATTATTTGGTGATTTTCTCGTATCCTTGTTGTAAAGTACTGCTCCTACATAGGGTTTCGGTAATTTGGCCTTGGTTGTGTCGTATCTGGTATTAGTGTTTGGGGTAACGGTGTCGACCTCGTTTGACTTCAAATTTTGGCTGTCGATATGGTTCCTCTGGTGATGACCAAAAAACATCATCATCTTGCAGTTCTGAGTTAAAGAAGTTCGGGTCCTCCAGCTCCATGATGCGTTGGTTAATTTGGTCAGCAGTTGCCAACGGAAACTGTTTCATCAGCGTCGTTGGAGTTTTCATATCGGGTGTTTGATGTGGCTTTTTCTGGGTCTCGGCTCCCTGTATTTGCTGCCTTCTTGTTGCCTCTTTCCGTGCTTTCTCTCTTTCTTCCATCACTCTGTTGGTTGCTTGCAGTTCCTTATTAAGTCTGTTGTTTTCTTCGTATGCTCTTCTTAACTTCTCCTCTGTTTCAGCTAGTGCCTTCTTGATCATTGCGACTTCTTTCGCGAGAAGTTGTTGGTTATCCCGCAGATCATTGATGCCCGCCTCGTCTTCCCTTGCTTTAGTTGGTTGTTCCTTTTGTGTCTGGATAGTGGCCAGTGCATTCATAATGTCCTCCTTGAATTTCGTCATCTTTGCTGACATCCGTTTCTGGGTGTCAAGAGTCGCCTGCATTATAGCTCTCAGGCCTGTTATTTCATCTCTGTCTTCATCTCGTTGGGATTTGGATGCGTCTTTCTCGTCTCTGAGAGCTTGGATGTCACTTTTGAGTTGAGCCACCTCGTTGCTCAATTTGGTGGTAATGGCTGCAGTTATGCCTTGGGTTGCTTCGTGTCTTCTGCGGGCCTCATGGTATGGAATCTTTTCCCGTATGGCCATGGTTGCTATTTCTCTGCATTGTTGAAGATAAGGGCATCCCAGGTACCTGGTGCTGTGCTGGCCGTAGCAGTTGGCGCACTTCCTGTTCGTATTGGGAGACCTAAAGTCTGTGTCCAGCTTTGCCAGCGGGCAATTGTTGAAGGCATGGGGTTGTGAACAGTATCGGCAGACTTCATGTTCGTTCACACAAGTGGCCCGGGAGTGCCATGCTTTTTGGCAACGAGAGCACTGGATCACCTGTGGCACGTATTGCTCTGGTCTTTGCATTCTTTGATCTAGGTAGACTTTATCCGGGATGTGTTCTCCTTCCGATGTTATCACCGCCACTGGCAATGGATTCCGTTTTGAGCCCAGTCTCTCTGCTTGGTTGATGTTGACATTGGGGTTGTCTTTCCTTATTTGTTGCAGAATTTCTTCGTTGCTCCATTGCAGGTTGACTCTTCGGATCACCCAGCGTCTTACATTCTGGAAGATTGTAGCCGTCACAGTTATCTCCTCGGATAGTCGGAGTTCTTTCTTGCTGTCGTGTTGGATGTTATCCAGCATGTCTGAGGTGCGATTGGTTCTGTTTAGTGAAGCTATCACTCCTTCTCGAGTTCTCCTAATCTTTGCGATTGCCCTCTTGCCTAATATGATCTCCAACATATTGATCAATGTTAGCGTTGCCAGTGAAGTGATTGCTGTCCGGCCCGAGCTGGTCTGTCGTAGAAATATTGTGGCAGGAAATTCATAGCTGCCTGTCTTTCGTCGATCTGGAGATGTTTGTGGACTTGGCTGTGTTGGTTCAGGTGACGCTGGGACGTCACTCAGGGCCTCACTGGTAGTCAGGGCGTCTTCCTGTGGTTCGTTAGTAACTGTCTGCGTCTTCCTGGCCTCCGAGTTAGATCGGGTAGATCTGTCAGTGGGTTGTTTCCTCTGTCCGTTGCGCTTTCCGTTAGGTTTGTTTCTCCGAGACATGGTGCTTGCGGAGAAGGCCTCTCGCTCTGGCTAATGCTTTGTATTGTGTTATGTAGGTTTCAGTCTTATCTGATGACAATTGCGGAGACGTCCTCTCGCTATGCCTATCCTCAAAGGGACCAGCATGTACTGTATTGCGCCGGTATCAATATCTGGTGACTATTGCGGAGACGTCCTCTCGCTCTGCCTATCCTCCAAGGGACCAGCATATACTGTATTGTGCAGGTATCAATACTATCTGATGATTGGCTGATAAGGTGGAGCCGAAGCTGCTGCGCCGATATGATTGGTGGAAGGGTAGATGCTGTTATATATACAGATGGTTCTGTTATTCGTCAGAAGCGAAGCGCATGCGCTTTCATGGCAAGAACTAAAGGAAAAGTCATCAAAAAAAAAAAAAAGTGGTGAAGCCTTCTCTCTTATCACCAGCAGCATGACAATGGAGGTCATGGCTGTGACAAAGACCCTAGAATGGCTGAAAACTCAGGAATTCACCAATGCATGCTTTTCAGCAAATCAGTGAGCATGCTACAGAAGATCAAGGCAGGACATATTTTGAAATAGAGGCTTCATCTAATACAGCACACAGCGTTTCGCAAAATCACCTTCATTTTTATCCTAGGTCATGCTTGTGTGAAAGGCGATGAGAGAGCAGACGCTCTGGCTAGCAGTGCAACTATTAGGAATGGGTGATCTATGGACAGGAGAGACATCATCATTGTCATCTGAGAGACTAAACGCTGTGAAGCTTACAGTTTTGTGGAAAATGATTTTTCACTGAATAAACTGCATACCCTGCTCTGTTAATTTAGTTCTTCCACATCATATTCAGCTTGGACATTGCAGATGTTGCCGTATTAAGTAGTAGTAGTAAATTTTCAACAGTATTCTGTTTAATTCTTTTCTTCTTCTTCTTCTTCTTCTTCTTCTTCCGCCTTTCTATCCCCCAATGGAGCATAGGCCCTTAACCAACTCACGCCAAGTCATTCTATCCTTCGCCATTGCATGGGGCTCTCCCCATGTCCTCTCCATCTTTCTAACTTCATTCTCCAGCTCTCTTCTTCATGTGTTTTTTGGCCTTCCTTTATTCCTATGCCCCTGTGGGTTCCAATGCAAAGACATTCTAGTTATGCTGTTCTCCTGTTATCTCAGTCTGTGTCCTAACCCAACGCCATGTCTTTTCCTCACCTCTCAGTCCACTGGAGCCTGTTTAGTTCTCTCCC